TCATTTATTCTCATACACTCTGGCCCCAGTAGTCCAGGTGATCTACGAGTGTACATATAAGAAAAAGACAAAATGATCACGGTTTTATTCTCCTTGCTGGTGTAGATACCTAGGTTAGGGGATGTGCGTTCTATGATCCTAAAGGAAAGTATAGCAATGGTCTCAAAAGGACAAACCAAGCCAGCAAGTAGCTCATTGTAGATGTGATCAAGTACAGGCCAGGCCAGAAAGAAGAAATGAAAATAATTCATTTCAACTTCTATGTCATTTACTAAATAAATGGCCTCTTATAATATAATTTGAAATATTTATTTAAAAATTGTCTTTAAATGACAGGAGAAGGGCTCGTAGAAAAGGTAACTTTAAAGAGGCAACAGAGCAATGAAATGGCTGACTTTGTTCCCTCCTCAGTCACAGAACTTAACATTTTCACCACTAATAATGAACAACATAAACTGATGGACAAAAATAGATCCAGAGACATAGAAGCATCGGACAGACTGTCCAACCTCAGAGGGAAGGTGGGTGTGTATGTGTGTGTGTTGGGGGGGAGGGGGTAGTAAGAGAGCAACCAAAGGACTTGTATGCATGCATATACTAGTAAGCATAACCCATGAACATAGACAGTAGGGGGGTGAGACCATGTGCTGGGTGTTGGGAATGGCTGGGAGAGGTCAATGAGGGAAAAAGGAGACATATGTAATACTTTAAACAATAAAGAATTTTAAAAAGCAACATTAATAAAATATATATATTTTTGCACTAGGTGCAAAAATAAATAACATCTCTTTATAATCCCATTAGACACAAAACAAATGGCTGAGTTCAATCTGGTTTATTAAGAAACATTATGTAAGAGCCATTTAAGAATTTATTCTTCAGCCCTAGCTGGTTTGCCGCAGTGGATAGAGTATTGGCCTTTGGACTGAAGGGTCCCAGGTTCAATTCCAGTCAAGGGCACATGCCTGGGTTGGGGGCTCTATCCCCAGTAGGGGCTGTGCAGGAGGCAGCCAATCAATGATTCTCTCTCATTGTTGATGTTTCTATCTCTCCCTTTCCCTTCTCTGTAGTTTTTTTAAAAAAGAAGTCATTCTTTAAGCTAGAGTGCAAATGTCCTATAGATTGAAGCTCTCTGAGAAATAATTGTGTTCCTTGAAACTCATGAAAACTAAAAAGCTCTGTAGCAAAGTCATGGCCTATATAAAATAAATTATATGTAGCATGGTTCAGAATAGCACATGGAGGGTAATGAATGATTTAATATTCAAACTTTGTTTTCAAAATATTTGTTTTTAAGCTACATATATTTAGAAAAAGGGTTTAATTTCCTTCTTTACAAGTCCAACTATATTTCTTGATTCTGCAGAAAATAATAGTGTTTTAATAGTACATAATTATAGTATTTTAAGTGTCCTTTATTGGATTTAGTTTTTTGACTCAACTTATATACAGAGCATAGACGACTTAATTATAGTTCCAAAACAGAAATGAAATGTTATAAACCTTCACAATGTATGAGTTATGAGATAGAAAGGGAAGAGAGGGTATGAAAGTATAAGAGTGTACATCTTTTTTTATTATTATAAAGGTTTGAGAGATACTGTTTAAAGTTGAATGATCAAGAAAGTACTTTCTCTATAATTTAAGGTTATAAAATAAGCAGAAGAACTTATAAGATGATATAAGTCTCTAACAAAACTTTGAGAAGAGAGAGATAGAGGTAGTGTTAATAGGCTCAATTCCTTATCTATATATATAAAAGCCAAGCAACTGGAATGACCAGTTGCTATGTTGTGCACCGCAGTCAGCCAACCAGCCCGATTGGGGGCAGAGCCGACAGGCCAACCTCCTGCAGCCCCTACCCCTGGCCGGCTGGACTCCACCAGTGTATGAATTCATGCACTGGGCCTCTAGTTTTTGATAAGGGAGAATCAATAGAAACGTATGTGATAGATTACATCATTGTTCCCAACTCTTTGCTCTCTCTCTGTAATTGTAATAGATTATACATTCACACTCATTGTCATATGATTTCTGCTATGCCTCCTGGTGGGGCCTATATCTGTAGTGTCATTCCTGCCCCCATTGATTCTGGACTTGGCTGTGTGAATTATTTTGAACAATGGAATGTGGGTGGAAGTGACAGAGGCTAGTTCTGAACAGAGGCTTCCAGAAGTATCATGTGTTTCTGTGGCTTCTCTTCAGCTATGGCCCTTTGCCATGGGGAGAACACACCCCAAATAATGATCACTTCTTTAGCCCAAGTCCAAAATGAGAAGACACATGGAGCCACACCTAGCCAAGTCAGCATCGAGGCAGCCAATGACTTGTGAGCTTACAATATGTGTTTATTGTTATAAACACATATGGGTGTTTTTTTATGGCAGCAAAATTGACCAGCACATTCTCTAAAGTTGATAAATTAAAAACTGGAACTATAAGTATATTATTTAGAGTTAGGGAGCTATCCACCAGGAGAGGTAAAGGTGACAACCACGAAACAGAGTTAGTTAAAGGTAGTTTTGGTGATATTCTTGGGGGAGAGAACTAAAGTTTTTGTTTCACACCTTCCTGTCCCATTTGACTCTTTTAATCATATGTATGTATTACTTTTATATTTAAATGTACAAGTACAGTGCATACCATCCAGGAGGTAATATAAGCCTTAAATACATGAAGCATTATAACAACAATATAAGGCAGCTAATTTGTGTTGGAAAATAAAATGCTATGGGTGATTAAATTATAGGAATTTAGAGGAAAAGATCAACCTGACTGAAGAGGTTGTGGTAGGTAGAGAAAATTACACTAGAACAGAAGCCTTAGGGCTTAAAATAGGTGGAGAAAAGTGGGCAAAGAACAAACAAATAGCATAACAAGTAGGAGAGTGAAGTGGTGGTGTGGCTGGAGCAGAGAATTCTTACAGGTGAGCTGTGGGCAAGAGGTCTGGAACTGGTGGGATGGGACCAGACTGACAGGCCTGGAATGCTTGACTAATGTGTGCAGACAGAAACTGGCTTCATGGACTAGGTGTTTTAGGAAGACCAATATAACAGGGCTGTGTAGGACGGATTGCACTGGATAAAAACAGTCCTCAGAGGTAAAGCAGAAACTATCTCAAGGGTCATTTAGGCATGTGTTCTGGCATCTGCCAAGGTATTGCTATTAGTCAGGTGGCTTCTCTTACCACATTCCTTGGGCCTAAGTTTATAAAAAGCAGCATTTTGCTCCCTTACTAGAAATATGTAGAATCATTATTTCGGTAGACTGGTGCCCTGTAGGACTAGAAAGATATGACTTGAGGAGAGAAAAGGCTAAGAAAACATATTTCATAAATCTCTAAAAACCACTGCTAGCTGGAAAAGACCTGCCGTCTTCTCCCTGCCCTGTGCTACTTAGAACGGTTTTATTGAGTCTCCCTAAAAGCCATCTAATGATAGCATTAATTCGTGTTCGCTCAGAGTTAAACTTTTGGTCAGATTACTCTATAGCATCTCTTTTGAACCAAGAACCTATCACCTCTCCAGTTCTCTTTATTTCAGGTCCATGCCATTTGATTTCCTTTTGAGTAATGACGGCCCAAATCTAACACCCACCAAGACTTGCTTCCATTGTCCTGGAGTTTTGTACCTCAGATTTTCCTTCTGACTCCTGCTTTCCTTAAAATTACAAAAAAAAAAAAATGGTAGTGAAGACTTGTCTGACTTTTATTTTCAGTTTC